TGGTAAACTGCGCTGTAAATGTTCCTCTCGCTTTAACGGCGATAATTGGGAACTCACTAGTGTTGCATGTGGCGAGGAAATCACCGACTCTTCGATCACCGTCCTTAGTTTTACTGTGTGGTCTGGCGATGTCCGATCTGGCTGTTGGCACAGTCGTACAGCCACTTTTCATCGCAAACGATTTAATAACAGTGTATTCCCGATCCCAAAGGCTCAAACGAGTATTCCTGGGTATTTACGACGCGTTTGGTTTCTCTTTATGTGGAATTTCTCTTTGTACAGTCACAGCAATTGGTGTCGACAGATTGATTGCCGTTGTAAAGTCCTTACTTTATCCAAGTATTGTGACAATTCCTCGCGTAAGACGCGTTCTTGTCGCCATCTGGTCAATTTGTTTCATTTTAGCAGGCGCGTGTTTCTGGCAGGAAAAGATTCTGTTGATTTCACTTGGAACTGTAATATGTGCTTGCCTGTGCATCTCAACTATTTGTCACGTAAAAATATACAAAACAGTTCGGTATCATCAAAATGCAATTCAACTTCAGTTCCTGGCGGTTGAAACAAACACTGGGCATGTTAACAAAGTGACAAGCCTAAAAAAGTCTGCATTCAATAATTTCATCGTTTTTCTTGTTCTCATCATCTGTTATAGCCCTTATGTAGTTGTTTTCTACGTAGTGACTTCAGTTAATCCAATGCATATACTAATCGCAAGATCCCTGACTTCAACTATTGTGTTCATTAGCTCTTCTTTAAATCCATTTTTGTGTTGCTGGCGAGTATGTGAGATCAGGGAGGCTGTAAAACAGACTTGTCGTAAATTACTTTGCTGTTTAACAAATTGATGTCAGTTTTTCATGCGTCTGTCCTGTTAGTGATCATGAATTTGTCATAACATTGTCAAAGTAGCTGTGGATCTACTCGGCTATCTCCTCGTGGATCCGCAAACTACTTTGACAATGCTACGACGAAATTCATTGTCAATAACAGGACAGACACATAAAAAACTGACATCAATTTGTTTTTACAATAAATTATCGCGCAAATTATAAATTCATGTGTCTGTCCGCTTACTGACAATGAAAATTTCGGAAGTTATTGTAATAATATAAATTACCCATTTTAAGTATCAGTTACTCAAACCCTCGCTAACTCGAACCAAAATCGATTTCTCCTGGATTTCCGTCTTACAGTTACTGTAATTTTACCCTCGCTAACTCGCACCCTCGATAACTCGAACCCCCCGCTAACTCGAAGCAATTTTCGTTTCCCTTTAGGTCATTTTCTGTATAATTTTACCCTCGATAACTCGAACCACGTCTGTCAATACGTGACAAGTCAAAACAAACGGTGTACTGTAGTCCAAAGCATTAAATTTATTTTGAAGCAGCCGTGTGAACTTTTTCCTTTCTTTTACATTGCACAAAACGTGTCAGTTCAGTTTATACGAAACTGAGAAATGTATTCATGTGACGTCATCATTTTTCAAAATAAGAAATTACCAATCCTTCTGATGTTTTAGTTTCATCAGATGTAAGACCCTTTAATAACTTGATGTTTTGCAACGTTTAAGCTCGACAGGGTTCTCATTATGTAATAAAGCACGTTTTTGAATTTCCAAATTTATGCGTTGCGTGACATTAAAAAGGCGGCCCGATAAGGCTCTCGAGTAGTCAAAAGATGAGTTATTGCTCAAGTTTTTGCAAACTAATCGGTTGTTGCTCTTTAAAAAGTGTTCATTTCAATGTTTCGGAGCTCTAGAGTACCAACTTTTCGTTTCAGTGGCAAAACTCGATGACAGATGTTTCTGTTACTCCACGGCCGCCATGTTTGTCTCCCTCCGAGGGGCACAAACATGGCGATTTCATACAAAGCTCTATAAACTTGAGTGAAACACTTCTCCGAATAACGGGAGAATGAAAAACTGCGCAGACCTAAATCTTGGCGAGGTTGTTTATATATCAATCATCTTTCATATCCCAGCTTCTTGACTTAATTTATTGAAT